TGCCTTTTCTAAAACCAGCTTGAACATCTGGAAGTTCAGGGTTCATGTATAGCTGAAGCCTGTCTTGGAGAATTTTGAGCATTACTTTACTAGCATGTGAGATGAGTGCAATTGTGCAGTAGTTTGAGCATTCTTTGGCCTTGCCTTTCTTTGGGATTGGGATGAAAACTGACCTTTTCCAGTCCTGTGGCCACTACTGAGTTTTCCAAATTTGCTGACATGTTGAGTGCAGCACCTTCATAGCATCATCTTTTAGGATTTGAAATAGCTCAGCTGGAATTCCATCACCTCCACTAGCTTTGTTCATAGTGATGCTTCCTAAGACCCACTTGACTTCACATTCCAGGATGTCTGGCTCTAGGTGAGTGATCACACCATCGTGATTATCTGGGTTGTGAAGATCTTTTTTGTACAGTTCTTCTGTGTATTCTTGCCACCTCTTAACATCTTCTGCCTCTGTTAGGTCCATACCATTTCTGTCCTTTATTGAGCCCATCTTTGCATGAAATGTTCCCTTGGTATCTCTGATTTTCTTGAAGAGATCTCTAGTCTTTCCTGTTATATTGTTTTCCTCTGTTTCTTTGCATTGATCGCTGAGGAAGGCTTTTTTATCTCTCCTTGCTATTCTTTGGAACTCCTTATTCAGATGGGTATATCTTTCCTTTTCTCCTTTGCTTTTTGCTTCTCTTTTCACAGCTATTTGTAAGGCCTCCTCAGACAGCCATTTTCCTTTTTTGCATTTCTTTTTCTTGGGGATGGTCTTTATCCCTGTCTCCTGTACAATGTCACGAACCTCCATCCATAGTTCATCAGGCACTCTGTCTATCAGATCTAGTCCCTTAAATCTATTTCTCACTTCTGCTGTATAGTCATAAGGGATTTGATTTAGGTCATACCTGAATGGTCTAGTGGTTTTCCCCACTTTCTTCACTTTAAGTCTAAATTTGGCAATAAGGAGTTCATGATCTGCGTCACAATCAGCTCCTGGTCTTGTTTTTGCTGACTGTATAAGGCTTCTCCATCTTTGGCTGCAAAGGATATAATCAGTCAGTGTTGGCCATCCGGTGATGTCCATGTGTAGAGTCGTCTCTTGTGTTGTTAGAAGAGGGTGTTTGCTATGACCAGTGCGTTCTCTTGGCAAAACTCAATTAGCCTTTGCCCTGCTTCATTCCGTACTCAAAGGCCAAATGTGCCTGTTATTCCAGGTGTTTCTTGACTTCCTACTTTTGCATTCCAGTCCCCTATGATGAAGAGGACATCTTTTTTGGGTGTTAGTTCTAAAAGGTCTTGTAGGTCTTGATAGAACCGTTCAACTTCCGCTTCTTCAGCATTACTGGTTGAGGCATAGGCTTGGATTACCGTGATATTGAATGGTTTGCCTTGGAAGTGAACTGAGATCATTCTGTCATTTTTGAGATTACATCCAAGTACTGCATTTCAGACTCTTTTGTTAGCTATGATGGCTACTCCATTTCTTCTAAGGGATTCCTGCCCGCAGTAGTAAATATAATGATCGTCTGAGTTAAATTCACCCATTCCAGTCTATCTTAGTTTGCTGATTCCTAGAATGTCGATGTTCACTCTTGCCATCTCCTGTTTGAACACTTCCAATTTGCCTTGATTCATGGACCTAACATTCCAGGTTCCTATGCAATATTGCTCTTTACAGCATCGAACCTTGCCTCTATCACCAGTCCCATCCACATCTGGGTGTTGTTTTTGCTTTGGCTCTATCTCTTCATTCTTTCTGGAGTTATTTCTCCTCTGATCTCCAGTAGCATATTGGGCACCTACTGATCTGGGGAGGTCATCTTTCAGTGTCCCATCTTTTTGCCTTTTCATACTGTTCATGGAGTTCTCAAGGCAAGAATACTGAAGTGGTTTGCCGTTCCCTTCTCCAGTGGACCACGTTCTGTCAGACCTCTCACCATGACCCATCCATCTTGGGTGGCCCCACACGGCATGGCTTAGTTTCATTGAGTTAGATAAGGCTGTGGTCCTGTGATCAGATTGGCTAGTTTTCTGTGATTATGGTTTTAGTGTGTCTGCCCTCTGATGCCTTCTTTCAGTACCTACCGTCTTACTTGGGTTTCTCTTACCTTGGACATGAAAACATCTGTAAATTGTAAAACACTGATGCATATTAATTCTAAGATTTGCTAAGAATTTTGCATTAGACTTGAATGCATTATTAATAGATAATTTTTGAAGAAGTTCTAATATATGTTTGAAACATTTTAAACACTAATTCATTTCACTAGAGCTTGGTACTGGTAAGGTTTTATCACCCTGGTAAGTGGATTACCTTTACTTTATTCTATGACCGGAATACAACACAGACTGCAGCCAGTTTGGTTAAGATTATATGAATGGATTGTCACCTCTCCATTATCATTGTGGATATAAAAATAATTAGCACAGATGTAATGAGGGCGAATCAGTAACTTATGTGAAGGATTAACCTTTGTTCAAAATAGTCACCTTGTGAGTCATGGAATTTAGGCTCCCCCTAGTGGCTATCTGGAAGCAATCAAATTTATACAACTATGTTTTAACATTATTTTCAATTTGCACTTTTCCACTTTTTTTAAGCCAAATCATTAGGGACATGAAGAAAAAACATTCTAGGATTAACCATTACCATAGATGTTTTAAGGGGTCAGTTTGCTAAATTAAGAATGTTAAAGATGGATAGCAGAATTCGAAAATAATACAAACTAGTGCTCGCTTCAGCAGCACATATACCAAAATAGTACAAACAACTAGAAAAGGGGGAAACATAAGCAGAAGTGGCAGTAAACCAATATTTAATTATGAGATAGAAGCAGACTAAACACATTAATTTGACAAGATCTGTACTAGACTCTTTAACGTTCTTTTCTTATACTTTGCCTCATTTTATCCTTCTTCAATCCTGGATTTCACAGATGAGTAAGTTTAAGTTTAAAGATCTCAGTATGTATTCCAAGACCAGAGAGCTAGTACATTACAGTAGTGTTGTACTTGACACACAGTATTTTCTTATAAGAAAGCCTTTGGTCATAATTGTAACACAAGTTAAACAAGATGTTTTGTACCTAGTTTCTGTAATCTAATAAATTCTCAACATACTTCAATGAATTTTTAAAAAGTTAAGTTATCCTTACCATAGTGAGAAAAATATGACTAGGAACTTTGTTTATAAATATTTAAAGATTACTCATTGTTCTTTTAACAGAAGATAGACATTAAATTTTAGGTCTTCTCTTGGTGTGGCATTTACTTCACTATATTTAGTTTGCCCCCACCAGTAAAAGTAACTTATAAATAAAGAAAATTCAAAAGAGGTTGATCTGAAATCATTTTAGAATGTAAGTTGGTCATCAAGACAGTATGGTACTGGCACAAAGACAGAAATATAGATCAATGGAACAGAATAGAAAGCCCAGAGATAAATCCACGAACCTATGGTCACCTTATCTTTGACAAAGGAGGCAAGGATATACAATGGAAAAAAGACAACCTCTTTAACAAGTGGTGCTGGGAAAACTGGTCAACCACCTGTAAAAGAATGAAACTAGAACACTTTCTAACACCATACACAAAAATAAACTCAAAATGGATTAAAGATCTAAATGTAAGACCAGAAACTATAAAACTCCTAGAGGAGAACATAGGCAAAACACTCTCTGACATAAATCACAGCAGGATCCTCTATGACCCACATCCCAGAATTTTAGAAATAAAAGCAAAAATAAACAAATGGGACCTAATGAAACTTAAAAGCTTTTGCACAACAAAGGAAACTATAAGCAAGGTGAAAAGACAGCCCTCAGATTGGGAGAAAATAATAGCAAACGAAGCAACAGACAAAGGATTAATCTCAAAAATATACAAGCAACTCCTCCAGCTCAACTCCAGAAAAATAAATGACCCAATCAAAAAATGGGGCAAAGAACTGAACAGACATTTCTCCAAGGAAGACATACAGATGGCTAACAAACACATGAAAAGATGCTCAACATCACTCATTATCAGAGAAATGCAAATCAAAACCACAATGAGGTACCATTACACACCAGTCAGGATGGCTGCTATCCAAAAGTCTACAAGCAATAAATGCTGGAGAGGGTGTGGAGAAAAGGGAACCCTCTTACACTGTTGGTGGGAATGCAAATTAGTACAGCCACTATGGAAAACAGTGTGGAGATTTCTTAAAAAGCTGGAAATAGAACTGCCATATGACCCAGCAATCCCACTTCTGGGCATACACACCGAGGAAACCAGATCTGAAAGAGACACGTGCACCCCAATGTTCATCGCAGCACTGTTTATAATAGCCAGGACATGGAAGCAACCTAGATGCCCATCAGCAGACGAATGGATGAGGAAGCTGTGGTACATATACACCATGGAATATTACTCAGCCATTAAAAAGAATTCATTTGAATCAGTTCTAATGAGATGGATGAAACTGGAGCCCATTATACAGAGCGAAGTAAGCCAGAAAGATAAAGACCATTACAGTATACTAACACATATATATGGAATTTAGAAAGATGGTAACGATAACCTTATATGCAAAACAGAAAAAGAGACTCCTATGTATAGAACAGACTTGTGGACTCTGGGAGAAGGCGAGGGTGGGATGTTTCAAGAGAACAGCATTGAAACACGTATATTATCTAGGGTGAAACAGTTCACCAGCCCAGGTTGGGTGCATGAGACAAGTGCTCGGGCCTGGTGCACTGGGAAGACCCAGAGGGATTGGGTGGAGAGGGAGGTGGGAGGGGGGACCGGGATGGGGAATACATGTAAAAAAAAAAAAAAAAGATACACTATGGTTGTGATAAAAAAAATAAATTAATTAATTTAAAAAAAAAAATTCCAGTTAAAAAAAAAAAAAAGAATGTAAGTTGTACATTTTGTACAGAAAATATTTTTAATCTTTACTTTGCCAGATTTATTTTACATCACAAAAAAAGTTAGTGAACATCTCTATTTTCCCTGCACTTTTCCAGGTCTAATTGTCCAAAATGTGGCTCTACTGGTGAAGCTGAAAATACCATTTACAGATACAAGCTTTCCTTAAAAGTTGCAGAATCAAACAAATTATTTGGCATTACTGTATTTGGAAGTTGCTTAGATGTATTTTTTGGTCTCACAGCCACTGGTTTGCACAGGTAAGAATATTTAAAGCTTTCTTTTTCTAGCCATGTACATCAAGTTTGAAGATATGTGTTTTTAAAATAATATACATTTAGTAAAAAGATGATCACTTGACCTCAAATCATCAGTTCATTTAAAAAGATAAGAAAGAAAAAGATGTTTATTTCCTGAATACATATTGTGGTGATGTAAGACCATGCTCCTTTTATTCAGACCAACTAAACTGTAATTAGAGTATTAAATTACAAAACTTTAATCCAAGTTAGAGAAATATAGATGAAGAAAGTAAAATCATTTCCAACTGAAGGATTATTCAAATCAAGTGGCTAAGGTCTCTTGAGGTGGAAGAAGCTATTTGAAGGAATATTTACATATCAGAAGTTGAAATTTTGTCATTTATTTCATTTGCATTGCAACTTCATCTGCATAACTGAACCTGTTAAGAGTTGTCCTGACAATGTAAGTGTATAGAGAGAGAGAGAATCTCTGTCCATCTCCTTGTAGCTGTGAGCAGACTGATTTGAAGAAAGGAAAAGCCAAGGACCGCAGCCAGGATTGCCAGCGATGAGGAAAGACTTCCTTCTGCATTGAGGAGAAGGCTAAAGATCCCACCACTTCTCCCACTGCCACTTTTAGAATAATCGCTGGGCCTGATTACTAGACAGGCATCTACTTTACTCACACTTGATCAACTGCTTTTGTCTTTCTAGGCAATAGGAATCTAGAGGGAACAAAACACCTAGCTGTTAAAGTCACATTTCTTTTTTCTATATGTAACTCAAAAGTTTCATGCTTTCCCATTTTTTATTTTCTTTTCAATTAAGGTACATTCAGGATCCCAGTGAAATTCCAGAAACTCTGGACAGTGATACAACTCAAAACCTATTAACTAAAGCAGTGGAAACTTGCTTTGTTGGACAAAACTTTATTTTTGGAGTGACGGTAATTGAGACTAGTTTTGTTCTTAGTATTATGCTAATATTTCCATTGTAATGAAACTATTTTAATTTTCTAAGTAGCTTTTAGGAGTCATAAATGTGAGGGCCTGTAGAAACCCTTTAAACTACATAAAAATAGGCTATAGGTGATCCTTTAAAACATTATGTACATGACAAGATCTTTCAAAAGCTAGAAGAGCCCTGTTGAAAGGCTTTCAGAGCTTTAGAAATCTAAATTTATTATATATTCACAAGTGCTAGATATTTTGTTTTGATATTTGGTATTTACTGTACTCTCTAACGGAGAAGGCAATGGCACCACACTCCAGTACTCTTGCCTGGAAAATCCCATGGATGGAGGAGCCTGGTAGGCTGTGGTCCAGGGGGTCGCTAAGAGTCGGACACGACTGAGCGACTTCACTTTCAGTTTTCACTTTCATACATTGGAGAAGAAATAGCAATGCACTCCAGTGTTCTTGCCTGGAGAATCTCAGGGATGGGGGAGCCTGGTGGGCTGCCGTCTATGGGATCACACAGAGTCGGACATGACTGAAGTGACTTAGCAGCAGCAGCAGTACTCTCTAAATTCGGTTTAGATTCTATAGTAAAACTTTAATCAACTCTTTTATCTGCAAAAAGAAGGAGGGAAGTAACATTGAAAGCAAAGTAACTGAGTACTGATAACTCTAAGAATAGGTTAGGAAGGATGGTCTTAAATATAAAAGTGACTATAGAAAAAGTCTAAAGAATGTGCTGACTCTTAAGGAATAATCATTTTCTGTCTCTTGTATGCTAACGGGAGCAAATAAATATTTTGCCTGTATTGCAATCAGGGTTTTTTTTTTTTTTTCATTTATTTTGCAATCAGGGTTTTAAAAAAGGGAACAGAGCACTTCACAGCTGAACAGTGAGAAAACCCAAAGGGAAGTTGAAACTAGGAGCTACAGAGGTTTTCTTTGTTAAAATCTTAGATGCCTTTTTTTCTCCTTTTTTTTTTTAACATATGAGAACATTCCTTTAAACATTCAAAGTTTATGGAAGTTAGTGAAAAATGTAATAGTAACTACCATTTATTGAGCAACTACTATTTGCTAAGCACCACAATTTTTTGTGTGTTATTGCTAATACAATAATCCTGCCTTTTTATCCTTATTTTATAAATGAAAAAACTGAGGCTCCTAATAACTTATCCAAAGTCCCCACATTAGGAAATGTTTGAAACAGAACTTGAAGACAAGTCTCTTTACTCCAAGGTTTACTTCCCCATAATTACAATTCCCTGTATAACCCTATCATGCTAGAGGAATTGAAATTATGGGTGTGGGAGTTATAGCTACATCTGTTTTAACCTTTTATATCCCTGTTTCATGTTTAAGTCAAAGGGAAAAAAAATTATTCTCATTTAAATTCATTTACTTCTTTCACAGAATTTTGAAAATCAGCACGGAAAAGGTTCAGGTTCCAGTAACTTCTCAGAGCAGTGCTCAGACCACAAGAGAGTAGTTAACGCACTCGTAGCTTGCCAGATCATTCCACCAGACCCAAGTGTTGTAGGCTTCACTGTCATTGACTATTTCCGTCGGCTTTTGCAGCTTTCTGCTGTCAGGAAACTTCACTGTGGCTCCCAGACACCTAATAGCCACTTACTTGCTTTAGAAAGTTCGAATAGCGATCTCAGCAGCTTATGTGGCCTTAACAGCAGTTCTTATTGTTTTGAGCCCCATGGCAAAGATTATTTTTCAGGATTCTGGCAGCTATCACTACAACTGACTTCTGTTGTTTCACAACTAACAGATGATGATTTTTCAGCTTTGGAACAAAGCGAGGCCAATGGTACTCTTCACCAGAACAGAAAGTGCATCTCCTCTGCAGAGGCCACTGGTTCCAATAGCCGCCTTGATACCATTCAGGGTTCATGGAGCCTTGTTTCACATATGGACAAAAAGAGTTCAGCACAAAAGTTAGATGAAGAACTTGGCCTACAGGCTAATCAGCCAAGTGCAGTTCATAGCAATCATCATGAAATTGGAGTTCCTGGCTCTAATTTATTCCCTATGAAAGTACAGGAGCCATTTGAACCAAGGAATACAAAACCCTTGCACAGTGCAGTAGAAGTTAAAAGTATATATTCTCAGCATGAGATAACATGTCTCCAGAATCAGGAGGTAGATACGCCCCCTAGCTTTCAGCAGAGATGTATGTGTTATCCATCTTCATCAGTCAGACTTGAGGAAATAGCCAGTAGTTCCCAGGACTGTGATCTCGAGATCTGGGATGACCTGCCACTCTCTGAAAGCCTAAACAAATTTCTGGTAGCTATCGAAAGTGAAATCGCTATAAACCAGACAGATGCCAGTAGCAGGAAATGTCATCTAGATAATGACATCAGTAAACTACATGTGGACTACAGCAGGTTATCATTGACCCCACAAAGAACCCCTGGAGCCTTGCATACACCACCTATAGCCTTAAGGTCACCACCAGCAATAGTCGAAGCAAACTCCAGCAGAGATAACTTCCTTTCCAGCCATGAAGCAAATCCAAGTCCTAGCATTCATAAGGAATCACAGCCTGAGAACACAGCAGAGGCTCTCTCTTTTAGTGGTAATAAAAGAGACATTTCTGAACATTCTCTACCAAATGTTGATCTGTCAGCTCTGTTTCCGTCTTCAAAAGGCTTGGGCACAACAGTTGCTCTTAAGTCTACGAGAATTCTACCACATGAGACTGAAATTTCATGCAAGCACAATACTTCAGAGGCTGACCATTCTTGTCTCAGCAGCAAATATAATGGATGTGGAGAAAAATCACTTTCAGAAATGAGTGAAAAGTTGAAAACTTTGCATTCTAGGAGGTATAATGTTTCCAACTTTCCCAGCTTAGAAAATAAACAATACTGTAGGCGGCCAAAGAGTCAGGGCAACAGTTTGACAATTTGCAGGAAACTCACATATCCTTTAGAAACTCTTCACAGTACTCCAAATAGAAGTATGAATACATTGAGAGAAATGCTTTATGAACACACTGGTAATAACCTAACACAGAACTGTTCTACTGGTCTTGAAGGCAATTACAATGCTTCTGTGGATCTCTTCGATGATAAAGAGATGGACATTGTAACAGAAGTGACTAAAAGGTCACAGGATATTTTATTACAGTGGGGTAAGTCTTTGGCAGAAAGTCATCATACAGAATCTGATTTTTCACTGAGATCACTTTCTGAAAACTCCAGCCGGTCATCACAAAAATTATCGTTGCAAAACACATCTGCCTCTCTCTATCCAAGAACCTGTCCCTCTCCACCTCATTTTCAGTCAGATTCAGAATATGATTTTGAATATAGCCAAGAATTTGTTCCATGTTCACAGTCAACTCCAGTTATTGGATTCTACCAAAGTAGGATTCATGGGATGAAAGGAGCTTTCCAAAAATTACCTGCCTTTAATTTGGACCTTGATGCCAACTATAAAAAAACAAGGATTTCCTCTGCAAATGACGCACAGCAATCCACCCCTATCTGTCCACAAAATATAAACACACCTGGCCAGAAATCCAGGAGCCCTACTGTATCTGGTATTACACCACCAGAGGTCTCCAACAACCATCCTGTCACTGAGTGCCTTGAAACTGATGCTGACGAATGGGTCCCTCCTACCATACAAAAAGTATTTCCTTCAGAAATGCTTGGATTCCGGGCCATGGGTCTAAAGAAATGCCATGCTGCTTATAATTCTCCTGATCAAAATGAGTTACCAAGAAAAAAACTGAAATATGTCAAGCAAAGAACTGGTAAATGCTTAATTAAGAAGGAGTTAAATTTAAAGAATATGCTTACAGCAGCAGTTATAAAACAGAAAACTCCTGACTGTAACAATATAAAATCAGCCTGGATTTTTAAAGAGTCAGTTTTGGGACGTAATTCTTGTGCAGAAGTCAAATGTTGCCTTCCATTTTCAGAAAATTGGTCACCTTCAGCACCTGAAACTAAAAGTGCTTGGTCTCCTGAATTGTTCTCACAAAATTTCACCTAAACCCAATTTCTGAGCTTTTAAAGGTACTTCTCTTTGGAAACTCTGCCTCCAATGTCATGGAAAGCATTCTTACCATTTTGAAGACTTGAAGCAAATAGAAAAGAGGTGCTATTATACCTATAAGCAAGGGGAAGCCATTGTTTTTCCCAGCATTTTATCCAGAATGCTCTGATTTCAGACAGTTTGGCACTTTATCTTGTATTGTTGATTGTACTTAAGTAATACTGTTAATTTTGCTTGTTAAAAGTATTTGTTAAAATCACACATACATGCAGAAATAAAGCTTTTGCAGACCAAAGCTTAGTCTTTCTTACTTGTTCAGCTTGGATCAGAAAATGCCTGCCAACTACTGTTGGGTTTGTGATACAAAGCTACAAGATCACTGATCTCAAAAGATTTTAGTCTACTAGGTAAGACAGAAATATAATAGACAATTTCAATACAATACAATAAACACAATGATGGAACTTTTTAATGGATATTACATTTATGTTGCTCTGGGAGCATGGTAGATAATCAGTTAACCCAGCAGCATCTGTGGGCTTTGTATCAGAAGAAGGGTCAATAAAGACTGAATTAAATATGAAACTGTCACTATTTGATTTAGTCTGTATTTGTTGAATCCTTTGGAGGAGCCTGCTAGGCTATACTGTCCATAGGATTACAAAGTCACACACAACTGAGCAGCTTCGCTTTACTACATGCCAGGCGCTATGCTAGGTGCTGGGAACTCAAAAATGAAAGTCAAGGCCCTTTACCTCAAGAAACTCATGGTCTAGAAGAATAAAGAAGCAATTAGTATCAATGAGTTCTATGATAGGAAGATAAAGGGCTAATAATGAGCAGAAATGAGGAATAGTTTCTAGACATTCAAGTCCTTAGCATCCTGTTGCCTGTGCCCTGTGAAGGTCTGTTGCTGTGCACAAGTTTTCTCTAGTGGCTGAGCAGGGGCTGCTCTTCATTGAGGTGCACAGGTTTCTCATTGCAGACCACAGGCTCTAGATGCACAGGCTTCAGTAGTTGACGCACTCAGGTTGAGTAGTTGTGGCACATGAGCTTGGTTGCTCCGTGGTATTTGAAATCTTCCCAGACCAGGGATCAAAACCTCGTCCTCTGCACTGGCAGGTGAATTCTTATCCCCTGTACCACCAGGGAAGTCCATGCACCCCATAAAAATTTTTTATGTCTCTGGTCAGCTGCTTTTGCCATTCCCCACAACAGCTACTCCAAATCTTCACTCTCTCCATTCCACCGACCAACCTACTCTCCTTGCCTCATACTTCATGGAGATCACCTGGTATTCCCTTACCTTCTCACACCCATGCTTAGCGACTTGTCTGTATCTCCTCACCCAATACTTTTATCCTGTAATCTCAGAAAATAATGAACACTGCCTCCTGTCTTTCTGTTTGGGCTGTTGCCATTATACCCATCTTCAATATTATCTAATGTTTAGCCCATATTTAAGCTTTTTTACTTGTCCCTGCATTGTCTTGTAATTGTTGAAGTTTACCGAGGATTTCTTTTTTTTTTTTTTATTCTTTTTCCATTTTTATTAGTTGGAGGCTAATTACTTTACAATATTGTAGTGAGTTTTGCCATACATTGACATGAATCAGCCATGGATTTACATGTATTCCCCATCCCGATCCCCCCCCCACCTCCCTCCCCACCCGCTCCCTCTGGGTCTTCCCAGTGCACCAGCCCATGCATCCAACCTGGGCACCAGCTGAGGATTTCTTTAATATGAGTCCACAGTTTTCAGTTATGTCTCATCTCATTTTCTAGAACATAATTAGATTTAGGGTTTTGACAGAGATATTTCATAGGTTTATGTTGTGCCTTTCATATTGTATTACATTAGGATACATAATGTCAAGTGGTCCCACTATTAGTGATGTCAGATAATAAGATTGCTTGCTTAAGACGTTGCCCACCAGATCTCTATTGTTCAGGTACTTTTTTTTAAGAGTCAGAGGACTTCCCTGGTGGTCCAGGGGTTAAGAATCTGCCTTCCAGTGGAGGGAACGCAGGTTCCACGTGCCATGGGGCAACTAAGCCCAGGCATGCTGTGAAGACTCAGCACAGCCAAAAGAAAAGGAGTAGAGTCAGTGTTAGAGAATTCCCTGGAAGTCCAGTGGTTAGGATTCTGCACTTTCACTCTGAGGACCTGAGGTTCAGTCCCTGCTTGGGGAACTAAGATCCCACAAGTCACACAGCATGGCAAAAAAAAAAAAGTTACAGTTGTCTACCATTGGTGTTAAATGAATCTGTTTTTCCCACTCTCCATCAGTATTTACTCAAGGATTTTTTTTTCCATTTATTTTTATTAGTTGGAGGCTAATTACAATATTGTAGTGGTTTTTGCCCTACATTGACATGAATGATATGCAGTCAATTTCACTCATTATTCTTTTTGATGCTCCATGTAATAGTTGCTCCTGCATTTCTGTCTACTATTGTTTATAGCTAGTCTTGACCAAAAAAAGTAGTCACTGTCAAATTTCACGTCACTCACTGTTCAACCTACTGAAATTCTCTCCTCACCAGTCCCAGGGACAGGGAGCCTGGTGGGCTGCCGTCTATGGGGTCACACAGTCGGACACGACTGAAGCAACTTAGCAGCGGCAGCCCCACCTCCAGTGGCTATGGTGTTGATAGTTTTCTAACCCTCTAATCCAACGGATTTGTCATTCCATATTCTATTTGATCTCTTTGCACTCTATTTCCAAGATAACATTGTTGTGGTTTCTCCTAGACTCTCATCGGACATGCCTGCAGGGTTTTTTATTTTGTTTTTAGGGGGGGTTTATAAACAATTTGATTTTTAAATGTACTATAAAACCAATGGTCCTGTATAAGGTAGAGTGGTTTGTCGGTGAATATTTAGAATAATGGATAAGGAAAAGGTGTATGTTTATTGCCCAGTCAGTGATGTGAAGGGTCTTTCTAGTATATAGGCCAAAGATATAGTCTCTTCATGTTCTTTATTATCAAATGTGCCATTCCTGGCTAATTTCATATCTCCCACTGTGATTAGAGTAGTAAAGCAGTTACTATTGTACTGAACTATATAGATCTTAGCTCTACAGCTCCCTAATATCATTTATTTAATGCTGGTTACATCTTTACTCATGATGGTGCATCCATTGTGCCATTATGAGTACTGGCTTCCAGTAACAAAGATTATTACTCTGTTTCATCGATAATTAACAAAAATGCAAGTCTTACCCGGAGAATGCAGGAAAATGTGAATAATAAGTCATTTCCTAGCCATTGGACTTTTCCAACATAAACATAAAATACGCATTCTAACCATGTCTTCTCTTGAACTTTTTAGGCTATAGTTATTGCATTCCTAAACTGTGATCTCTTAGCCACACCCAGGAAGAATAATCCAGAGGTACACGGGTGAAGCAAGAAGAGTGGTTTCATTTGTGCAAGGAATGTCCATTTCTCCATCAGTAAGGCTTAAGCCCAAGCCTAGAGAGCAAAATGTCACCGTCAGTGAGAAATGAGAGGACACTGATTGTAAGAGCCAGTTGGCATAGCAGCAACAGTCTTGACAGGCTTCAGATGAGATGGCCTGTCCTGACCCACAGCGCAGAACCTGCAGAGAGGGTAGAGTGATCTCCCTGGTGCTAGTGATGGGAGGCGGACAGAATTAAGAACAATGTCCCCAACCTCACAAATCTGGCGTCTGTAGACCAGAGACAGTACAAGAGTTGGAAAACACAGACCAATGGGAGCCAAAGCACAGGCCCACACAACTCAATTTCAAGGTTAAAGTCCTGTTTCATTGCTATTAATGCTTTTTTCCCTAAAATCTAATTATTAATGTACTACGTTAGTTTTGTCTTTGTTCATATTTGTGAGAGGTGGGTGTTTTGTTTTGTTTTGTTTTAAAACTTTCTGTATCTTTATGTCTTAGAAATGAGTTGGGTTTTCTTTTATTGTCCAGTTTGACAATCTTTGTCCTCTACCTGGAACATTTCCTTTCTTTCGATGGTTTGGTAGCCCAAAACCCTGAATTCATCCTGTGTCCAATATGAGAGTCACCTAAAAGCACCATTCTGGCAGCTCAGTCTCATATTACCGTGTGAAAGAAATATTGCTTCAGCCAGTAGAAATGTTCCACTCCAGACCCAAGGGACTAGGGTAGGGTCCTTTCTTACTCAGGTCTTAGAAGTACTGCCTGATCATCCCCTTATATCATGCTTGACTCCTTCCGTATTTGCCTACCTTTTAAAAGATGATGGCCTTAGTGTTCTAGTATTGGCTCCTTCTACTCTTTGGTTGAATTTTTCCACTCATCTACAGTTACCACTCGTAAGCTGTTGAATTCGAAGTCTTACCTTTTATCTAGACATTCTTCTGAGGCCAAACTTGTATGTTAGTGTTATGATTCCACTGAAAATGTTTTATAATTTCCATGAGTTCTTGGACCTATGGATTTTTTTTTTTTTACAAATGTGTTTTTTTTCCAACTGACTTCTTTATCTGTGTCTAATCTACTTTTCTACCTAATCCATTGAGTTTTTCTTTCAAAAATTATATATTTCCTAAAAGCTGGATTTTCAAATTTACTCTATCACATCTTCCTTTTTCTCTAGACATTTTTAACTTTGCCTGCTACTGCTTTGAACACAATAAGAATAGATGTTTTATATTCTGTTTGACAGTCTGAATAAAGTCTTCATAAATCCCCACTTGGAGAAGGCAATGGCAACCCACTTCAGTACTGTTGCCTGGAAAATCCCATGGACGGAGGAGCCTGGCGGGCTGCAGTCCATGGGGTCGCTAAGAGGTGGACATGACTGAGTGACTTCACTTTCACTTTTCATTTTCATGCATTAGAGAAGGAAATGGCAACCCACTCCAGTGTTCTTGCCTGGAGAATCCCAGGGACAGGGGAGCCTGGTGGGCTGTTGTCTATGTGGTCGCACAGAGTCGGACACGACTGAGGCGACTTAGCAGCAGCAGCAGCAGATCCCCGCTGT